GTTACAAGTGTTACAAACCTTCTATAATACAAAATATGTATCACCTCCTCAGCCTGCTTAACATGTGCTCGACCTAAAATGTAAACAAACAATTATCACCTCCTCAGCCTGCTTAACATGTGCTCACTATTAATGTAAACAAACAATTATCACCTCCCCGCCAGTATCCACATCTATAGTTCGACAACTTAAGTTCGCCAGATATCGCCCCTGTCGAACTTCGGTACCTACGTGTCGAACTAGAGTCCAGTTAGTGTACTCAAGACTCAAGTTCGACAAATAGTTTCTGCCTTTCATCCAACCCGATCCAACAGCTATTGCTGGGTCCTCATTATAGGATCACAAGGTTCAATGGCAGATAAAACAATTTTCTGACATCTAGCAACCAGCGTTTAGAAATTCCAGAACCTTTCAGTATAGTTTTAACTCTACTGTTTGCCACTAGGTTCTGGTCTAGCTAACAGGAAAATAGATTGATATTCGACTGTTTCCGGTTCAGCAGCCAAGTCTCTAGACCGGTACTCGGTTAGTAGTCGTTTGTGATTAAATATAAAGTGTGGTACGTAGTAGATATTTATATAGCGTACTCTACAATATAGATCTATAAAACGGAGTACGAGTTACCACGTTAGTCTTTTATCTCTCCGCTAAGTCTACAATTATGCTAACTAACAATTGAGTATGAGGTCAATTAAATGATCATAGATATGGATTATAGAGATTATATTCACACATAATGGAACAACATGAGACAAATGGAAAACAAACAAACGAATAGATTTCAAGCTCGTAAAGGATCGTTGCTTGAGATCAGAGATTTCAAAACTCTAGTTCGACTCTAATCATATTTATGAGCATATCGATATTTGTATTGTACACAGCAGTACCAAGTGCACAAATCTGATAGAACGAATATCGACCGATGGTACGGAATAGTGCGATTCCGCACTTATATGCTGCCTGTGATCATCTACGAATGGTCTTAATATCATAATCAGTGGTCTGAATATACAAAAGTTAAGTTTGGATTTGCACGTCTTTTAAGTTTTAATACTGTGAAGTATGGTTAATTGATTGAAGCCCGTTATCTTGTTAACGAACTCTGCACAACTATGATGTAGCTAATGAAGTTCTCATACTGGTGCATAATCATGGAAACTGTGCAGAGGCAACATATAGGTGCGGTAAAATTTTGCAAATAGTACGTTCCCGCGCCTGCCAAAAATTGTTTTAGGCGCAGTAAATTTTGAGGGAAACACCGTGATTAAGCTGAACAATTCGCAAAATTTGCAGCCTTCAGCTAGTCTCAGGTTGGATTATTCAACAGCGTAGTATATAACGTTGCATTACACGACTGTTTAGTTTAGCACATCAGAAACAAACAAGTTTCCTGACAATTCAAGATGTACAATTCTAAAAGTACCTTATTAGAAGCTTTTACAATTAGATGGACAGGATGACTGAGGTTAGTTGAGCTGGCGATGAGCATAATTGAGGCATGGTATTAAATATTGTAATTGTCGAACTTTAGTGCGTGTTGAACTATAGTACTATATATCATTCATTTCCTAAATTCATCCTCTTCTGTTAACAATGGAATCCTCTCCTCAAGTTATGCCTGGTGCGGTTTTCGTTTCAACTTTGAATATGCCCCTCACTAGACAGGGGGGGTGGGGATCATACACTTAGTACCGTACGTGTCATTGGGGGGCTCATTTCCCAGAAAAACAGTTAGTACATGGTACTTAGGGGGAGGGGGTGTCCAACCCCAAAAAACCCATTTTACCTCAAATTTTAATTTTGGGAATGGGTTTGAGGTTTTTGAGTTTTATTTTGGGTTTTTTAAATTTGTTTCCTTTTTTTGCAACTTTTTATCTAATTCGACTATATATATATATATATATCTTATCAGTTACCATGTCTTTTATCTAATTTTTATCAGCAGATTTATAAATCTGCCGTTCATTTGTAGTTTTTACCTTGCTAGTTATGAGTAAATTTTTGCCTTCCATCAATTGAGTGCAGCTTTCATTTTCAAAATTTTCAGTTTATTCAGATTTTTCGTTTTCGATATTGCAAATTTTTAATAAATCATGTTCAGATTATGGTGATAATGGATGTAAAGGTACTTCAACCGAATTAACAATCCAACCGTGTGTATGACGTGTCCCAGTAGCCAATCATAATATATATATATATATAATAACATCTATAAACAAAAGAGCACCTAAAGAGGCTCAGCAAAGTGCTGGCCTATTTACGCTTACGAAGACTCATTCGTTCAATATGTCTCAAAGTAAATAAACTCCTCCATCCTACTCTATCTCTTGCTAAGTTCACTAAGTTGGTAAAATCATCTTCATTTTCATAATATCATACAAATTAGTCCTGTGTCTACCCACTCGTCCCTTTAGTGTTTGACATCCTAGTGTAGCAAATAACAGAGACTGGTAGGCAGGCGTGTCGTTGTCACTGCGTAGAACATGACCTAGCATTGTCCACCGTGCCTTTTCCACTCCCTCGGAAAGGGGCCTGGTCTGGGTACGAGCGTAGAGGGCCTTGTTAGATATTGAGCTAGGCCAATAGATGTGTAGGATGCGCTTGAGAAAACAAAACCCCTACTAAATAGAGGGTATAATTTGCCCATTTCCCAATGTTTAATGAGCTGATTAAAGCAATTTATGGGTGGGTATCTTATTTTATATACCAAGACACAGTTATAGTACCGTGATTTCTCAACAGTTAGTACCGCGAAACCCGGCAAAAGGGGTGGGTGTCTTAATTATTATCCAAAAATCAGTTAGTACCGCGAAGGGGTTGGGGTCTTTTGAAAAATCCCCCCACCTCAACCCCCCCCCCCCCCCCCCCCCCCCGCACTGGATCCTGGATCCCACAAACGTGTAAACAACAACGCGAGACCGTAAAATATACCATTGCTCAATGTTTTAGACTGCTATGTAACTTTAAGTGCTTATTGTCAATATTTTTGATCATTATTCTTGCTCCGTCATAGACCTCCATACGTTCTCTAGTATTGTTTCTGAACGGTAGGCTTTATTGCATTCCACTTTTCAAAACCACTAAGTGCTCTAAACAAATGCACACAATATTTCAGCAAAATGACCAGCAAGACGGAGAGTGAAACAAACATCACACCGCAGCCTTCAAGAGCCAAGTGGACCAAGCAAGACTATGTAAACTTACTACTAGCGATGATGATTAAGTTTGGTGACGGTGTTGAGATTTACCTGCCGGGTGTTATTGTACAGACAGTTTCCTGTGAACTGGAGGTGTCATTCTTCAAGGAGGGGATTCTTGCTGTAGTCTTCTACCTTGCTCATAGTGTAGCTCTGATGACTGCAGTTCCTCTATCGAAGAGGTTTGGGGATAAATTTACTCTGCTGTTTTCACTCTACAGTTCTATTATCTTCACAGTTGTCTGTGCTTTGGTGCCTAACTACTACACGTTGCTTCTCGCCAGAGCTCTCATAGGGCTGGGATGTGGACTGAACTCCTCCACAGTTGGAGTGTTCGGAGCAAAAAATGTTTCCTCAAGAGAAATTTTGCCGACTTTCTCTTTCTTACAAGGAAGTATCGCATTTTCTTTAGGAGGTGGCTGGGTTTCGCTTATGGGTTGGCTCCTGCTGGAGAGTATTGGGTGGAGAATGTTTGTTCTTCTCACATCAATTCCCTGGTTCGTTCCTCCAATAATCATCCTTCATTGTTGCATTTTGGATGAAAACTCAACTTATGAATCAACTAACTTGTTAAAAGAAAAGGCAGAAATTGAAACTCAGCTCGATGAAAGCTTTACCGAAAAGGTCATCAAGGGGAGTCTCTTCATGGGATTCTGCTCTTGGGTCGGACACGGAAGTATCATGCTCCTACCATCTCTTATTAGAGCACACAACCTTGAGAACAAATCCCTTGATTTTGGAAAATGTGCCAAAGTGGTACATGGTGATCAGTTCCTGATTTTAGCTGCTGTCACTGGTCTTGCCAATATTGTAGGAAGACCGATCGGGTTTTTTATTAGACAGCACGTAAGGTTCTTGGCCCTCCAATCTGTTCTGATGGTTGGTGGGGCTATATCCAGCGGAATCATACTCACAAAGCCTGGTTTACTAGCAGAGTCAGTCATGATGGGTTTAATAAAACTCATTAATTCAATGCAGATGATGGAGGTTATCATCCTGAATTATGATGTGGACTATTTCGGACAACCAAGACTGGCATTGGGCAGCGCGATAATGCAGGTAACATCTAGTTTTGGTTGTGTAATCAGCTCTTCTCTCGCTGTTTTCACAAACCCTTATCATGCTGTGCTGGCGATGCTTGTGGTCAATCTAGCACAGATTGTTGTGATTTGTTCGATGAAAGAACGGAGATAAAACACTTTATGTATAGTCGGTGTACTGTGTTAGTGTAGTGTGGTTTATTATTGTAACATTTTTCAATTGCGGCACCGCAAGTTTAAACTTCATCTAGTTAAAGAATTTATAAGTACATTCAAATAATTGTGCAATTCAAATGATTGATGATGAATGAGACATTATGGATTCTTAAATTAATGTTACTATTGTTAGCTTCAAACGAAAGCGACCTTCAATTTCAAAATGGTGCAGTAGATTCAGTAGATTTAAGGATTTTAAAAGGAGTAGCTAATTCGTTTGTCATTACCGCCCAGCTTATACTCTTCAATTGTCTCAAATACAAGTCTTGTAAAGTATCCACTATCCAATGGATAATCCATGCAGCGTGCAAAACTGAGAATGGTAATGACTAATGGCGTGATGTTCAGTACGTGTCGAACTTGCGTCCAGATAGCGCACTTTAGTTCGACAGAGTCTAACCTTAGGGTCGAACTACAGTACGTGTCGAACTAGAGTGCGTGTCGAACTTGAGTACGTGTACCGATAATCAATGCTCAATGGAAAAAATTTATGCGAATGCAATATAATCAATAATGAATTCCTTCCGATCATGCCTGAATAACCAACCTCACTGGTGGGGGTACCCAGTACCCTTAACACACAGAACAGTTGCTCAATATCCGTCTCTCCTGGAAACAGGGGTGAGTTGTTCAGCATCTCCCCGAATATGCAGCCCACTGCCCATATGTCCACTGCAGAGTCGTAGAGTCGAGCTCCGTAGAGCAGCTCTGGAGATCTGTACCATCTAGTGGCTACCTGTTCGGGGTTCTTGTTTCAGACACGGAGGGTCATGTTACTGTGAAGAAATGTGAATTTTGTTAATGCGTTAGATTTTGTTGAACAATTTTGTCAACTAAAACTCCGTTGTCAAAACATCTAATTGAGCAACTCTTAGGACGTTAGATATAAGTTATTATTATTTTTTAAATATAATGATTTACATCCAGTGGCAAAATAAAAGAAAGGGGCCATATGTGGTGTCGGTGATAAGGATGTTAAAATAAGACATAAAAACCTGATGAGAGTAGCACCGCTGGGTGGAGTTGTCGTGAACTCTCGCCAGGCCAAAATCTGCTATCTTCAAGTGACCTGAGAAGTGAATATCAAGTCTGAAGTCCAACATTTCAGCGTACAATTTTATGATAATGGCATACTGCATTGGTTGCAGGTGAGATCTTATTTCAGTAGACAAATCTCATAACTCTAATCTCTAATAGTCTAATGTATTAAATTGCGGTCACTAGGCCCGATTAGGGAATATGGGACAAAAGTCGACTATCAAGTGGTTAGTCCAGCTGCCAAAATCAGAGCTTATGCGATATCCTGAGCAGTGAGCTATATTCCAGAGTTCAGACGAACGTTCGTGTAAAGTTATTTCCGAAGCAGAAACGAGTATGACACTGACAGTTGCAACTGCTACTGCCTATTTTGATTTTTGGGCGCACGATTATTCGTGAATTTCAAAACATTATTCATTCTCTTCGTAGTTTGTATTCTTTTAATTTAGTAAGCGCAGAGAAGCATTTTAATTCAGAGGCCGTATTCTAAAGACGACACTATGGACATCAATGTGGAAGGTCTCCCAATACAGCAGGTCAGCAATTTCACTTACTTGGGTGCAATCATCAGTGCAAATGGAACAATTGACAAAGAACTATCAGCTCGAATTCAAAAGGCCTCTGGGGCATTCTATCAGCTTAGCAGTATATGGTACAGTCGCAGCATCAAGACTCCAACAAAAATCAGGATTTACAAAGCGGCTGTTCTCACTATACTGCTCTATGGAAGTGAGGTATGGAATACCACACAGACGCAGATGAAAAGATTTGAGGTGTTCCATCATAGATGTCTGAGGAGAATCCTGAAAATCAAATGGTTTTATCATGTATCTAATGCTGATGTACTTAAGCGGACTAACATCGCCCCTGTTGATACTTTCGTACGAGCAGCTAGACTCCGATGGTTTGGCCATGTGGTGAGGATGCCAGAAGAAAGAATACCCAACTATCTTCTGCACTGGATCCCAAAGCATGGTAAAAGGTCAAGAGGTAGACCTAGGAAAAACTGGTTGTCATGTGTCCGGGAGGATGCAGCAATCTTCACAGGTGTCGATAACATCACGATAGAAGATGCAGAACAACAAGCTAATGACAGGGTTCACTGGAGAGGTCTAATACACCGGAGAAAGGAGTTACTATGTGGTGCAGGCCACTCCAACGACTAGGAGGAGACCTTTCCAAGTACAAGTAAGTAAGTAAGTAAGAGACTTTAACTTGCACGTGCAAATTATGATAAAGAACTGCGCGTGCAAATTTGCGCGCATAACTACCTTGGTAACGCACAATGTTCACTTCGGTCGTATCACAACTCTCATTGCTTTGTGCTCTCACTGAATTGGACGAATCGCTATTTACAGCATTCTACTACTTTCTCAACTTTCTCAACTCTTGAAAATGATCTTTGAGGAAATTATATTGCTAGTAACCGTCGTGTTACTGTTCGCAGTCGTCTTCATCGGGGCTGCTGTCATATTTTGGACCAGAAATGGACAGAATTACTCGATGATCGAAGACATGGAAAAGAGGGTACAGAGCTACCTGGAATCAAGCGAATACGTCAGCCTAGACTTCACTGACTATTTGGAGAAAAAAAATCAGAGAAGTGGAGAGGGCTGCACTTGTGAAGATGAACCCTCCAAGAATTATCATGGCAGATGCCGCCACAGAACTGGATTGCAATGAAAAAGCAGATGCCGGTACTCAGACAGAACTGGCTAGCTCTCAAAGTTTGCCAAAAATCATCCAAGTCAAACCTTTGACAGATACGGTGATTCAAATGGACTAATGGACTAATGGAGTAGGATTGAGGAAGCAGTATATTGGAACGGACTCGATTTTGGGAAACGGACAATGGAACACCACAATTACGACTTTAGCAACCATCATCATGATTTTATACTATACTCCATTTACGATTTTAATCGGCCAAGCAACACGTCGTGCTTCGGTCACAGTGGGGGGAGCAAGGTATTAAATTTAATACTTGCTCTTCGTGCCAGCCCAGTAGTTCTGCCAGATTGTCGAGTTTACGTTAAACTCAAATTAAACAGAACTCTGGGTCCCACTGCCGCGGACCTGATCTGGCTGATGGTCCTGGAGTGCGGTCAACTCCTATTTTTTTGTGTTGTAGATAAACTTTAAAAAAATAGAGCACCCAAAATCTGAGCTTATTTATACTATACCTAGTATACTTATTGTAGAGTGAGCGTTTTTCATTTTTCCAAACAATCGCGAAACTCGTTACAAAGTTACAATTACATAGTTACATGGACTTTGTTTGAATCTTATCATCTGAACAATATAAATAACAAAATAAACTCTGTTTGTTTAACAGCGTCATACGTGATACGACATATATATTTATACAGAGGAGATTGTAATCTTGTAGTACAAGTCAGCCTGGCTTATTTCAAAATCACATAAACCAGCGCACCATTCAACAATCAATATAAAAGTATTATATTCGGATTGTGAAGGTTTTACGGATGACTGATACTGATATCACATCTATAATTATTGACTGAACAAAAGGTGAGGTTATAGCAGATATAAGAAGTTAGCTATCCACTGCCCAAATAAAAGCTTAAAAGGTAAATTTAAATGTAACTCTTTGAAGCGAAATCTAGAAAGGAATCACGTTGCATACAATTTCTTAGCACCACCTCATAATTCCTATTACTGAATCGAGAAATACTTGTCCCTGACATTACCGGACAAACTAAATTTTAAAATTCTGGAATATTCGTCACTGACTACTTTAATCAGACTGAACTCTGATCGTTTGTCGCTGAATATTTTTCAGACAGACTGAATTCTGTAATATCCAGACTGGCGACTAGAACAGCGACACTTGCAGTTCCTGGAATTACCCCTCCACCCAGGTGCTCTATTCCACGAGACTGACAGGGGATCAGGATGGTCAAATTGCGCGGCTTTGTCCGTCTGTTTACATGTTTGTTCTTGAGTTCTAATAACCCCGTGAGTACCAGCTGAGGGACATTCAGTGCAACTGTCAATACAGCAGGACTCACCTTCAACGAGTTCAACAGTTGGTTGAACCCTAAGTTGAGAACCTGGCGAGGGGACTGAACCAGGGGCAAAGGGACTGGATACGCTGGGTGAGGGGGGGAACAGAGAGTTTAAAGCGAAGTTAGACGAAGTGGAACTGATCTGAGTGCCGATAAGAGAGAGAGTAGTGGTGGGTCGCACTACCAATTCGTCAGGGATCATGTACTCTTGGTGGAAGTTTATCTGCGGAACTGCCTCATCCGCATCGTGCTTTGGAGCGTTCATATAGCTGTGAAGTCGCAGAGTCCGGGGTGATTCCTTTAACTCATCCGGGGTAAGATACTCCGTACTTGCTGACGGGTGAATACGATCGGAAGTGACACCGATAGCCTCTGAACGAGGATAATGATTGTTCGTCGTTTCAGCATCCTGAACCAGTCCCGAGTCAAACGATCCGTCAATAGAAAGCCGCTCCAAAGGATCAGCTCCATCCCAGCCAGCATTACGCTCCGGATCAACCGTCAAGTCGTTTTGGATAACAACAGCGGTTTGATCAACGACATCATCATGAACTATGGCCATGATATCTCTAGGTATCGCACCATGAATGGGCGGGGGCATGGAAACCTGGAACCCCATAGTGACCAGGTCAGCGTATGAGTGGGTTGACTGTCTGTTTCCTTCAGCAGCTTGATGGTACATGTGGGTGGATCTCCTACGTTTGGCCAGTATGAACTGTCGATGACGGTATAACGAGAACACTATGAAAGTGATAATTAGAATTAGCAGGGCACAGGAAACTGTTACCATGAGGTAAACCCAAAAAGGTGATAAGCTTCTAGAATCGTCCATGCAGATGCTGGTCGGTTCCCAGGGGTCTCCACTTGCACCACCACCACAACTCCTCGGAGAAACAAGTTGAGGAAACCGGTACAAATAAAAACCACTACAATCATTCTTCTCGACAAGATAGTACTCTTTATCCATCCCGAGAGTTCTGCATTCTCCCCCTTTTGACCAAACAATCCGGTAAAACCAGGACCCCTGGTGGCGTGTTACAGTATCACTTTTACTTAATATTATCTGATTTTTCCCATTACAATGCCCTACTTCCGGGCATTTATCTGCTATCTCAGATGATCCGACCTCCACTATTTTCTCGTAAGGTGGCATGAACCGGTACCACCCGTCCGGTTTGATACTCCGGAAATCACAGTCACCACAATTGTCTCCGGAACCCTGCCCAGAGATATCACACTCTGACATATCTGAGTTGTCGAAGCCTTGACGGTTGCTGAGTCCCTTGTGGGAGGTGTTACCTCCGTATATTCTGTAAGTAGATAGGTCACTGCAATCAGGGTAATCAGAATGGGCGTCCGTAGGGCGGGGCTCCAGGAGTAAGAGAAATATTGGAATCATCATGCTGCGAACAGGAGAGATTTAGTATCGACTTATGATAAGTAGCTTAAGCTAATCTAGCAAATAACTTGCCTGAATCTAATAGGTGAGTTGTTGGTCTGGAAGCTGTTGGGACTATATCCTATATAATTCAGCAACTTTATCTGACTGGACCATTTATAGTGTTTAACCTTTGACAGAGTCTCATCAAATCAAGCATAAGCGGGGGGGGGGGGCTGCATCTTTCTGCATAGGCTAGACTCAACTACAAACAGTATAAACATAGTATTTACTACCCTAGCAGTTTTGATAAATTCTACAAAGCTACAAGATACAGTCAATAAATATTTCGTTAGACGTGCCAACTGTAAGCAAGACGACAAAATAATATTATGAAATCATTAACATCTGATCTGGTACAGATCAAGAAGCTTTGTGACTGGTTCGCGGGCTTTGAGTGCGCTCAGGATATATAATATATATATTATATAAATATTATATAATCATAGATAGTAGAAAGGTTATTAGGTTAAGTCTAAGCTGCAAAACTGAGGTAAGGACTCAAGGATATTGAGATTATTAGAGATTTAATAATATACTAATATACAAAATGCAGCAGCTGCA